GTCTCAAGAGACACATAGAGAAAAAAAGGGCTTTAGTAGAAATCATTGTTTCAACTTTCATAACAAGTCTTCAGAACCTTTTCGGTACGTTTCGAAACCAAAATGGCAATAATATGAATCATTAATATGTGCATGTCCGGTTTTATCTAATATCTGTGATCATATTAGTATCATCACCATAGCTATCAATTTAAATAGGTTTCTGTAACAACAAGACATTTTCGGCAAAATCCGGCAAATGAATATTAGAACTTAAACGACAAATCCATCGATCCGGCCTTAGGTGTAACACATTATGCCATTCTAATAGCACATACTCATCGCTGACGCTAAGAATACTACAAATAACTCCAATTATACTGATGTTAGACACTCACTGTACATATTATATTATAACAAAAATATTATTACAAACTATGATGTGCGATATCATCGACGTTTAGACACCATTAGACATGACAATGCATATTAACTATATATATATATTATGTGTATATCTATGTAGGTACATACATTTTTTTAAATTTAAGTATTCCTCGTTTGGCGTACCGCCGAATGACTGGTGATAAATAATTTATCGAGATCTTCCATTTTTAGGCGTCTTGTGTCCGTGCAAAATTCTTAAGCGCGCAAAAAAAAAACAACACACACACATCATTTGTATTCACGGCCGATAATAGAGTTCTTAACCCGGTAAATACATATCATAATCGTTATTGCACACATACACACACACGCCCATATAAATTATTATTTATATACTTACAATAAAAATAAAAAAACATACCGGGCGATATTGTCGAGCACGTCTTGTGTGATTTTGATATTTATTTTTTATTTTTCACATTAACGCGCGCGTTTGGTTTATTAATTATATGATATTATTATATTGTTATCGTGACAGCGTTGACCATGCTGGAGGTCGGACAACAATCGTTTCCGTAGTTCGATAGAGAATTTTTCCGGTTAAAATCTGGCACACGTTAAGTTCTTAAACAGCTGGTAGACCCAAATTTCCCGGGTTAAGACGTTCATTTACTTAAAAGAAAACTTTCCAAGTAGATGGCACATCATACAGCGTTCAAATATATTCATAAAAAATGTAGTCTGGTATATATCTAAATAAAAACTCTCTAAAAAACTAAAAAAAAAAAACCAACAACGTTAGAACGTTAAAACGAATGTGTAAAATATCGTTTTACCAAAAGTAATAAAGTTTATAATTATTTAATGTTATGCCATATTTTACAGTTGCAACCACTTGTATTCAATGACCTACAATGTACAGCGATAACATTATTGTATCGATTTGAACTAAAGTATTTTATTTCATATTTTTAGAGTTCAAGTTGACCACGAATAAATTTCTACTAAAAAATACGAACATAATTTACATTGTTTTCTTTTAATTGTAAATAAACAACTTAAAACGATGTGTTCTAAACGATTAAACATAATCTATTCTTCTGTGTCAATGTAATGCGGTAAGTAAAAATAGATGTATATATTTTAATAAATTTGAGGTACCCAAAATATTGGGTAAAAAAATCGAGCTGGCGGACTTATAAATCGGATCAGAACTTTGAATAAAGAAAAAAACTTTATCAGATGTACAAGAAGAAAGCCGGCTGCAACAAAATACATTTTTTTTCTAATTTACAAAGTACTGATGTCTACTATAAAATCATTTGCCATCATAGGTACATTAGGTCAGATTTAAACTAAAATTTCACGGGTTATCGATCCAAAAGTCAGCGACGGCCTTTTAACTTTGCGCTAAGCCGGTCTCGCAAGATGAGTTAACGTGTTTTTTTAATTATTTTTTTAATTAAACCATATTATTAGCAACAGTATGACGCGTCGACGTGATCCGTGAACGACACTGACCGTTTCGCCTACATGATTTTTGCACGCTGCGCGCAAATGAAAAACAACTAATAATATTATGACCGTGCACTTGCAGATTGCTTTTGAAACTTGGAAATTTCATATTTGCATAATTGGCTTTGGCGATTTAACCGTAAATACTAAATGCAACAAACAAAATATGTAAAAAACCAAACGATTGTCATATCTTGAATATCACTTTGCCGCGACGATAAACTCGTTTTGAGCAATTATGTTTGTGTGGATAATTTCATTCATAATTTTGCAAAATAATTAGCTCAGACAAAACGACCGCGAGCGTAGCGAATTTTTTTTTTTTTTTTAACAGACACAAAAGCCGTACAGTGCCAATATAGTGACGTTTTTGTTGTGCAGGCGATATAGTAGAAATAATCCCGTCTTAATTAGCATAATATTACCTGTATGTATTACTGCGTTGGAGGTCTAAAAGTGCAAATCTCGACTTTATCGACGCGTCCAAAGTTAATTAAGTCTATTGTAAAACGTGTTTTTAATTGTCCAAACTAATTGCGTGCAAATTTTCTAACGGGCGAGATTGGCCAACAATATTGTAGATCAGTACCACTGCGTAGGTTTAAGCCGTTTTTTTCAACAAGCTCCAAGGTACCTCGGTACTCGGTTGTCTGGTTGGAAACAACACGGGTAGACAATTAATAGCTGTTGAGCAATTTTAGCCAACACCGCACGCAGAGCGGACCCGATGAATCACATCCGGATTTCTCCATCGCTCCCGTTCCTGGTCGTTTAAAAAAATCGTATAAAAAACACTTGTTATTTTATTCAAATAACAATGTCGTTTGAACGGACAAATTGAAATATCTATCAAATATTTAACACACACACAAACGCAACATTCGTATGTAAAATAACCATCGGCGCAATTTCAACGGTTGCTAGGCGCTAGCTATATACTCAAAACTCTACAAATTTGAATTAGTAACATATTTAATTAGTCATAATTAGAGCTCGGATGTTAATGGTCATAAATGTAGATATTAAAATATGCATTTCACAATATCAAAACATGCAATTATATGCCTATATTATAAATCCGCATGACATAATGTAAATAATATTTTACATAGGTTAATTATTTAAAAAGGTATTATTATAAGTATCAAAATAACGTCGAATTACAATTATTGTAATTCGATGGTGTTTTCAAATTTAAATGATCAATGACGGTTATTTAAGACATTTTGGACAATATTTTATAGCCAGTATTTTTGTTTCATACTTTTCTCATATTGTGTATAATTTTCTTTAGCTTATACACGAATAAAGATAATAAGATAAAATGTAACATTCTTAAATATATGCTACTAAATCTAGAAATAATCATTATATGCAATATAAGTTTGTTAATTCTAGTTTTTGTGAATCGAATTTATATCATACTTAGGTATAATTCTGATTTCACTAAAAACTATATGCAAAGTAATAAACATTCGAGTCATGACCGATAAATCTCCCACTAAACAAATTAAATCTAAAAATGTACGCGGTTTTTGGACTGTTTTTAACATAAAAGTTTTATGTTTTATGTGTGTGAAGAATATGTCTAGCACGACCTGAAATTGCGCCAATGAAAATAACTTGTGCAAATTTAATTATTATTAATCGCGAAACCGTAGACATGCATTAATATTATGTATTTCTTCGTCTGCGTTATACCGCTTTCGGACAAAGTGAAAGCTCGACCTTGAATCCGTTATTAATAATATAATTGCCGGTGACCACACTTGGGCGTACAGACACATGCTGTTATGATGAACGAGTGCGGGTGAGCCTACCACAATTAAACATGCAAAATAAACAATATTTATGTGTTTTATCAGAGAATGTACAAGAACCACCTTTACTGACCCCACGCCGGGTCAGATGAGTTATCATTACAGTTGCATTAAATCTCAAATCAGACGCACCGAGAACGATTTCTGAAAATTTCCAAGAGATTGACGCAAAAAATTAGAAACAAATTTTACAAAATCAATAGTCGAATTCAACGATTTTAGCTTGGATGTATGTGGTTATAATAATACATTTTTTTATTTGTCAGACAAAACATATCAGTTATATATTGTAAAGCATATTTTTTTAATTTTGCACCGTTTTAAAAACTATATTCACCAAACCAATATTATGAAAGTTCCACTGGGCGCCCACAACAGCTATACTAATAAAATTAGGCGCTTCATCGATATTGAAATATTGTAATTACTGCGGTTCGATTTGATTGTAAAACATTAATAATATTATAACAGCAGTAGCGGCAGTGTCAAACATAACCGAATTGGCTAGAGTAGAGACAGTTAAAATAGTAGATATTATGTACTTATTGGATTGTAATACTGTAGTCAGTAGTGGGTGCAACGGCACCGCAATTATGAACATTTTGGAGTGATCAATATACACATTGATGGAGCTAAGAAAAAGAAGCTTAATCGATAAGCATCGATTGTCTTATTAAAACTAGATTATTCTTGAAACTATTTTTTCGAAATCGGTTTATCTGCCGGCCGACCGCTACTTTCCCCACGGCGGCTGCACGTACACCACGTGTACCGTTCGCCACTTGCAACTGGAAATTAAAACATTTTTTTTTAAATAAAAAAAACCTAACCGAAGTCTCAGACCATCTCCGAGTCCACAAAGGTAAAAATATAATATGCGCACAACAAGTACGAGTACATTACCCCCAAAAACACTCATTGGAGATTGTCCGGATTTTTAATCCGGACAATCTCCAATGTGTAGTAATTATATTTATATACCTATATATTTTAGCTAGGTCGTCATTTGTGTTGTTATTATAATCGTTATTAGCCGAAACGACGGTAGGTACGCCTATGATAATATTATACACTAATATTTCTATCTCCTACGCGATCAGCACAACGATGCCATCGCGCAGAGTTCAACGACAACAATAAACAATAACTTGTTATAATACACTACGACGAGGGAAAAGTATTTCACATATTATGTACAATATTTATACTCCTAACCCTATATTAATAAATCGCACCACGATGTTCATTATTATCGCCTATAGTCTATGATAATTTTTGTATTTTTTTTTCTTTGCTCACCGACTTGCTGGTAACCTGGTAATGAGTGTTTAATGGTGGAAAAACGATTCGTTTAATATCATATAATACGTATATGTATATATTATAAACACTATCCCGAACACGACCCCGACTATATTATATATTATAGTTTATACACACACAACTAACGGCGACGACAATATTTGTTAATTTTCGTCACCGATTTTTTTTTTCTAGTACAGATACTACACAATCGCGGGCGGTTATTTTTTCCAAAATTTTTTATTGGCTTTAGTCGAAATCAAATAAAAAAAGTTCACACACAAACAAATACACACACACGGTATATATATATTTTGTACGACGGGAGAACGCGCGTGGCGAACGGACCGATTGCGACTAATGCCGGTTCTCGTCGGGTAACAGTACAACCTCGGCGACCGTGTGCAGCTGCGGACCGGTTCCAAGTCGCCGCCGTCGCCGTATAGAGGTGAGAGAGCCTGGCAATATATAATAATAATAATAATAATATGCAACGGACGATGATGATGTGTTGTAGGGGCGACCGAGCACGTGCCCGGCTCGTCACGTACGGGTTACACACAAACAACAGTGGTTGCAAGTGGAATAATTGTAAAATTGAAAAAATAAAATCAAGCCAGGTCAGGAGCACGTGTCCAAAACCCCAAAAGCGCCGGCAGACCTATTATAACGAGAAAGTTCCCGCTATATTGGCTGCACTGAACTTGCAGCCAAACCACAGAACAGACGGAAGCAGAAGGGCCGCTTTCAATGTAAACAAACAAGCGACGACCACTTTGTAAAGATCTATTTAGTATTATATCTGTACACAACAAATAATACTGATGTATAGATCACTACTAATGTATAAATTATAAGATAAGCTAGATTACAAACTAATGATAAGAATGCAAGTAGACGTTCTTTTAATTTTGTGGGATTTGTGTGTGTATAAAATAGTATATATAATATATATATGATTCTGTGTCATTAACTTGTAAACATATTTTCATATGATAAAATGTTCTAATTCCCACAGATGACGAAAAATGGTAACTTCAATTATCTTTATTGGCGGCATGTTTACTTAGCAATCTAGTTTATTATATTTATTTCTGTGGTAAAGATACAACATTATAGTGGAGTAGCCTTAAGAAGATGGAAGATTTCGCTTACATTGGAACTGTCCCTTCTGATTACATTTATTCTGTGACCAAACCAATAGCAAAATATTTGGTCACCGATCAATGTTTGTTGTTTTTTCTACGGCTTACTCTTTCGATCAACAGTAGTAGCCTGTTTCAACAGAAACCCGAAATATTACAAAACCTTAGCTCATCTCTGAGTAATTCCTTACTGATTTTTTGTTTTGCATTTGATCAACATGGGAAATTTTAATTTTTCATTAAAAAAAAAATGACAATTTGAAAAGTTTATTGATTAAAGATATAAAAATACATAATAACTGCATGACTATAATGGAATATTTCAGCTATTGAACTTGACATGATAAAATATGTACTTCGGGAGACTTCAAACCTAATTTGTTTGACGACAAAGGGATCATACAAATAGTAATAGTACTCATAAATCATATAGAACTACTGTTAATTTTTAACCCTTTAAACGGTCTAAATTATTATAGGAATTGGACAACGATTTATTGTTGTAATTTATTAAATAACATAAATATATTATATTTCAACGAACTGAGCGGAATGAAGCTGTCGAAGCATGGACTACCAATTAAAAATGCTTCCTAAAATACAATACTAAAAATAATTACAATTCTCCCAAGTCCAGACTCTATGGTATGAAAAATAAATGATTACTTTGTTTGCGGAAGTAAAGTTTTTGTGTTGAAATATTGTCGAAGTTTTAATATATAAGCAAATCGGAAAATTAAAAACGTTCATCCCCTCTTCCAATTAAACCCGTTGGGTAAGTTTTTTCTTCCTGATCTTTGTCCATTAATATGCTAATAATCATTCATTACACGACAGTTTTTATCCCCCATGCGAAATTGTGTTTTCACTGTAACGAATATTGATTTTTTTTCAATACTATATAACATCATTAGTAGACTACAATATGTACTATTGATTTCAGAAGGCACTGACTAAATATCCGAAATAAAGCTTTAAACAGCTCACTTATTTGTCTAACAATTTTATCTTAATACAGTGATATTTTATAGTCGATTTCGAATCGAATTGTATTACTACAAAATATGGTATATAGTTTTCTAATAAATCCCAGTTAAATTTAGTCCCATACTGAAAGACATATTCAAATTAACAAGTAGATAAGTCTAGCTTAATTAAAAAATGTTGTAAGTACATAATTGTTAAAAATGTGTGTTTACTGTATATGATCCGATGAAGAATGGGTAAGTTTTTGGTCTTTCAAACATTATATTTTCAAGGTTTAAAAAAAAAAAACTTGGCGGTAAATGGATATTGGATACATTCGACTAAGGTATTTTACTTACACCGTGAATTTGTTGTAAATTATAGTTAGTTTTCAAGTGGCTCATAAGTCATTTTATGCTTATAATAAATTATACAACAGTAATGGGTTATGTGTAGCCAATTCGTTTTGGTCGAGTTGTTTTTCCTAAGATAAAAATAATATAATACTAATTAAAAATATGTCGTGATATCCGGTATAGGTGCAAACCCGTTTAGGGCCTTAGGCGTGTGGTCTGTTTACAAATTTGTAAACGTGTATGGGCACTGCGGTTGTGCAGCCAAATAATACAATAAAAAAATGGGTACCCGGCCTTGATGTGTAAAAACAAAACGCCATAAATGTGATTATTATTATTGTTGTTGTTGTCGGTAGCGAAATTGAAAAGTTTCCGTTTCGATTGCACTCCACATAACCTTATGGGCGAGTGGTGTATAGGAAACGACGATGGTTGGGACATGTCCAACCATGACAACGTGTCGAGTCAAGAAATGGAAATGGAATCAATACTTGTAAGTAATCAGCACTTGTCTAGCGTTTTCTTTCCGGCTTTTTGGATAATCAAATCCCATCGAAGTACCGAACCAATACTTGTGCTTGCTCGATATAAATAAAAGTGTATGTGCACTTTATATACATTACACATAATATTATAAGTGTGTAATATTATACCTACTTGAATGGCCGATTGGCGCCACTGGAAAATTAATACGGTGCGACGTAGGCAATAATAAAGCAAGTGCCAAGTGCGTTACAAGCCGAGTCATAACAGCAAGAATAATAATAATAATTAATAATAATCATACCGTTGTCGAAATATGATCCACATAAGGTGATAACACATGACGTCTTGTCTCGTCTTTACACCTAAACCGTGTTCGGTTACAATTTGCATGATACGATGCGTAAATCGAATACCAATGGCATACCTACACTATATATATTGTACTCTTGTGCGTATATTACTCATGTATAATATCATATTCTTTGTGTCAGTGATAATTAAAATGTACAGCCAAGATGTATCATACAGTAACTGACAATACTAATTACTATGTATGTATTATATTGTGTAAATTCGTCGACGCACAAACAAACAAATGATTCTTCGGTGCCTGGTCAAAATTATTTAAGTCTGTTTTTTCGATAACGCTTATTTTGATTTCGAATTACAACTAGTAAACTAAGATCAATATTTGGTATAAGTGAAAATAATTTTTAAGGCTAGGTTTAGTTCAAGTATGACTAGATGATTGCTTGCTAGTTACACTTATGTTGAAGCTTAAAAATAAAATACAAAAACCATAAAAGAAGATTGCGAATAATATTCGGATTTATTAGGATATTAGTTTTTAAAAATAAAATAATGAGCAAAGTCAGAATGAACAAAAATATTATTTGTCAAAATGAATGAAATCAAAATCAATACAATTAAATTACACAAAAGTCATAAATACACTTAATAATATATTATAGAAACTTCACTATTAGTTTTTATATGCCAATCGTAATAACGATAAATTAATTTATTCGAAAACAAAAAGTACTGCTTATAATTTTCTTCTTCTTATCTAGATATAGCTACTTTAAGAGTTTGTTTTGACCGCCACTTCAATATCTCGCCATCTATCTCTACATTGTACCAATTACTTCCAATTGTCCACACCCAACACTCTTAGATACTGTTTTACTCCATCTATCCATCTCTTCCTGAGCCTGCAACGTGGTCTTCTTCCTTGAGGTTTCCATTCGAAGACCGTTCTCCTGTAGTTCTGTCCCTATATCTCCTTCGCCATACGCCATTGACAGATATCAGGGGAGGGGGGCTTGAGATACTAAAAACCTAAACTTAAAATTAGTGCTTTTCAAAATACCTACATTTATTTTTAGCGAGAGATGTGTTGAAATCAAAATAAATGTAGCACCAATTTTAAGTTTTAAGGTTCTTAGAATTCCAAGCCCCCCTGATCCCCACCAACACAGATCTCAGAGTCTACAGACTTCACGCCACATTTTGTTTTCGAACGTTTGCCTGACAATCACACAACTGCTTATACAATTTTACACGACGCAATTTTGTACAAATGGCCGTAACAATAAGAAGTACACACTAATAAGAAACATCTTTAAAAGCCTTAGAACATCCGGAGCGATGTTTGTATTGAAGGATAATATTCTAAGTAAAGGGGTATGTATTATAAAGTCCCTTATTTTGCAGATAATATGACGACAGTAAGAACGGTTCCGAGAAGAAGAACATTATGAAAGCATATGGTTGAAAACTTGCACAAGCTTAATAACACAGAAACATGGTTTGTTTGCTCACTATCATTATAATATTCCAGTTTAATATGCTACCCGTCGTTATTCACGGTATACACAAACTCTCAAGGTAAAACGGAATTTTCTTCGGCTAAATTCAATTCATACACAGCCAAGCAAATCATTAATAATTTTCAGTAACCTCGTTCCTTCGGGTATCTACACGGTGAACACAAACGTTATAATATATTATTACAACAACAACAACAACAACAGCATATCAATATGAAATGCTAGAATAAAACACAATATGCATAGATCAGGATTAAATTACTTGTGGAGTATAAAATTATTTGTAAAACGAGTTATAAAAACCAGGAAGAACTGTTATAAATATAAAGCGTTAAACGTAACTAATAGTATTTTTGTATTGTTATAATGTTTTATAAAGTATATGATGAATATTGCAGGATGTGTTTGCGTTACAGGATCGTCGGTATAGTAGGCGTGTTCCGAAAACGAATCGCCAGCGATGGTAAATTATATAAAAATTTAAACAATCAGTTTAGATTTTGATAAAACGAAAAGTGTGCGATCGACCGACAAAAAGGGACAAACAAAAATATTGAAGTTTTA